GAGTGGCAACAGGTGAATGCCATCCGGAAACTGAGGCTCTGGAGAAAGCGGTGTCTGGAGCACCTTCAGTGGCGTGGGGAGTCCCCTTTTCCATATACATTTTTATTACCAGGTTAAAATCATACCTAAGGCTTCTCTGTTTGTGGGGTCAGGAAGGGAAACACCCAGGAAGGGTGAGGGTAGCCTCTGCTCCACTTCTGCGCAGTGGGAGCAGCGCCGCTGAAGACTGGGGGGTGCGGGGTAGGAGGGATGCAAGAACACTGCGGCCGGAGGACTTCCCGGCTGGTGTCTCCGAATTTACTTGGCAGCTTGGCTGTACTCCATGCTTCTCCCATTCAAACAAAGATGTTTCCATTATTAAGTTCGAACAGCTTAACTTCTTAAATTATACTTTACAGTAACCGTGATTCGAAGTTTCACATTTCCCATTAATTATCTTTCTACCTACATATTGAACTTAAAAAAAAAAAGAACAACAACCTCAAAACCACACTGTATGCCTCCTGGGAGTGCAGGCCACGTAATGACCCCGGACATAGCTCTAGAGACCGCAGCCACCTACTGTACCTTCTGTCCTGCAATAACAACACGGTCCCCCAACTTCAGGCCAAGTGACGTCAGCATCGCCTTGCTAGTGACCCGATCGTAATTTGGAAGCAAAGGCTTTGAGAGATCACAGGACAGAGGCACCGCGTCGAGCAGCATCTGCTTGATTTCTTTGGCAGTTGCCGCAGCATCGGCCATTTCTAAGGGCATCTCAACTGGGTCTGGGACAACGTCGGCAGGGATCTGCCCTTTGTCATTCTACAAATAAACAGAAGAGAAACTTCTCAGGTCCTATCTGCTTAGAGCTCTGCACAGTCACCTAAAATTATTTTTGGAAAAAAGTTAATTTCATTCATCATTTATTTATTAAAGAGTATTTACTGAACATCTACTAGATGCCACACACCATTCTAAGCGCTAAAGACATACAGGGAAGAAACAAAAAAAAAAGCCCTGCCCTCAAAAAGCACACAGCCTGGTGACAGACACAGACTACAATCATGCAAATAAAACAATAAAACATATGGTTAAAAAAAAAGATACAAATGAACTTATTTACAAAACAGAAATAGACTCACAGACATAGGAAACAAACTTACGGTTACCAAGGGAAAGGGGGTGGGAACGGATAAATTGGGAATTTTGAGATTTGCAGATACTAACTACTATATATAAAATATATAAACAAGGTCCTACTGTATAGCACAGGGAACTATATTCAACTATATCTTGTAGTAACCTATAACAAAAAAGAATATGGAAAGGAATATATGTATGTATATGTATGACTGAAACATTATGCTGTACACCAGAAATTGACGAAACATTTTAAACTTATTATACTTTAATTAAAATAAATCAAAAAATAAATAAAAAATGTTACATCAAAGGGTAAAAAGTGGCAGAGAGAACACTAAGGCAGGGAAGGGGAACAGAGGACACAGGAACACAGGTGGCTATTCATGCACAGGGGTCAGGGAT